TTTTTCTTTTTTTTTTTTTTTTTTTTCCTCCTTCCCTCCTTGCAGCACTGATGGCCAACGTGGAAGACCTGATTATCAAGACGGTAGTTTCTGCTGAGCTTGCCATTGCCACAGCTTGTAAAAATTTTCTTTCACATCGTGGCAGCTGCTTTGGTAAGGCACTGGGCATATTTGTTGATTTGGCTCTTGAGTACTGTTTAAACTTCCAGCTTTCTGGTGCTACAGAGAAATATGAATTCCCTATTGCAAGGAAGTCGGATACTGCGTTTGTTTGTTTGTTTATTTATTTGTTTATTTGCTCCTCGGTGTAGGCATTTGTGAGGGCAGGGAATACTGAATCACAGTTGCTCCTATGCCAGTGTTGTTCATCAGAATCTCTTACTAGAAAATGGGATGATAAAAAGGGTCTTGAAAAGGAACTGTGAAAGTACTGGAAAGTTGAAGTTACTGACCTGCTAGTGCCCTTGCAAAGAATGGCTGTGGATGGTTAAACCTCCCTTTAGAGCATTTAATATTTTCTATTGAGCCATCTAGCGCAATGTACTTTTGAATTATTGTCCTACATGCATTTGAGGACTGGGGAGGAATGTGTAATGCCGCTCCTGGAATGAGGGTGGTGATGCTGCTTTTGGGCTTGTGCTTGTGTGAGAGTACCACATGGTGGCGTCCGAGCCTGTTCCTGGCAGAAGCTGGATGGAGAACTATGTGCTGGCAAAGGGATTTGAGAACTCGCTGGCAGCAGATGCTGGGATGAGGTCCAGAAAGCAGCGGCTGGTACCACAGTGTGCCTTCTCCTGCTTTCCAGTGGCTGCTTCCCAACATTCCCTAAAGAGGCCTCCTCTTGCTCTTAGCCACCCTTTGCTTGTGTGGATACACACGCAAAGATGGAGTCTCAGGGCAGCGGAAATCTGTCTATAATTAGTGTTTAGGTATTGGGACTTACATTTAAACTAGCGGTGACGGGTAAATCCATTTATTATGGCCCTTGCACTGTACTTGGGTATTGACAGTTCTGCAGCTTTAAACACTCTAACATGAGTGCTGTCATCTTTGGATTTTTGGGGGTGATAAGGCACTCAAGAATCAAGGAGGATCCATGGATGAGATGTTGTTTAGTTACCTGCCAAACTACTGGCCTCTTTGGACTTAGCTTCTCCTGACTGACTGTGATGCCCTTCTTCAAAGTTGGAGAACCTTCACATAAGTGGGGATTTATGAGTTAGATAACAGTTTTAGTGAAGTAGCAGTTTTCAGCTACTGCAGAAATACCAACAACTGGATTAAAAAAAAAAAGGCACCAAAAAAACTTTACCTCTTTTTTTGCTGCTCCCTTTTTCTTCCTCAGTTGTGTCTCTAGATTCCTCTGAGCTGTGTATGTGGAAACTAATGTCCTGGTGTACATTCTGCTGGGCCTGGCTCTGAGGTTATCCCACTTCCTGCTGCCTCCCCAGGGCTGCACTAACCACCCTCTCAGATGTTCCCCCACAAATAAACTGTTTTGTTCCATTTATTTCAGTGTAAACATAAATTAAGAGCTTCCCAGGAAAGAGAGCTTAAGTAGGAGCCATACTGCTTCCCAAGGGAGCCTGAGGCATTTCCAGAGCTCCGTACTTTCTGCCACCTTCCCCCACAATTAAGTGGTGGTCCTTGTCCCAAGGATTTGACCTGCCTTTGTCATGCTGTATGGCTCATTCTTCATCTGTGTGTCTTGTTCTGACACTCTTTGGCTGTGCCACTTTTAACCCTCTTGTAAAAAAGGCAGTTTTTCTAGCTGGAAATGTTCAGAATGGCTGAATTCATAGCTTGTTAACATGAGGGAGAGAACTGGGAATGAAGATTTCAAGGCAGCATGTAGAGGCTCCCAAGAGCCTTTTCTTTTTTTTCTTTTTTTTTTTTTTTTCCCCTTTTCATTCTGGGTTGTGAACAATGAAACTGCATGTGTGTCTTGAGAAAGACTGATCACTTGAAAAGTAGCCCAGATTTCAGAAACCTGTATCTGACGTTCTGATACAGAGGTAGGCCTTATTTGGACAGTTTCTAGAAAAATATGACAAACTCAGTTTTTATTCTACTCTAGTCTTTGTAATGCTGTCTAGGGAATAGGACTCCAGCACAATTACCACCTTGCTAAAAATTAAATCACAAGTACTTATTTGTCTAGGTTAGGTTGTCCACTTTGTTTCTCTAACAGTGTAGTGCTGCTGTGGACCTTCATTCCTTTACCAAGTAAATGTGTTTTTTTTATTTTTAATGTCGTATACTTGTTTCCTAGATTTAAGGGAAGAGACTCCATTGATGGCTGCTTCATGTTCTAAAATAAGACTGGGTAGCTGGAACCATACAGACTATCTATCACCATACTTGCCTAGAAAGTGAGAGGGGTAGGTCAGGATGATTCCTCTTCTAATGTCAAAGTGAAGTGCTGCTGACAATTTGTGGAATGATTGTAGTGAGTCCCCTTTTGGCCATGTCATGTGAGCTGTTTACTGCATTCTAGTAACAATCAGTTCTCAGAGGATTTGGGATTCTCAGTAGTTTTGTTTCTCTGAAGTACATCACAGAAAGTACTGCAAGTACTACATGATTTGGTTGCAGTCTTGTTCATTCGTTGTTAATAACAATGTGATCTCAAGCCTCTATTTTGTGGGGTTTTTTTTTTGTGATTAGCTAATAATTTCTCATGTAAAATTAAGCTGCAAGTAAAAATTGTCTTAACCAGTAGCTCCAGAGGAGGTCATGCTGCAGGACTGAACCACTGCACTGTCCTGAAGCTAATCACCAGTTGAGTTGGTTGCCTCTGGAGCCTTCTTTAAGAGAAATTAAGGTTTGCACTGACTTTGAAGGACATGACATCTCATTGTAGGAACAGTACGTACAATAGGGATACATATGCCCAGGCCAATTAAAGACTGCATAGTTCTCCCTCTTGGAGCAAGCACTTCTGGGTGGGCTAGAAAAGGTGGTGAGGCCGTCTTTCAGACAGTCTGAAAAATCTCTCTGTAGGATGGTTTAGTAGGGGATGAAGTGAAGGCAACTGGGTACAACACACATTCTTACCAGCATCCAGTGCAGCACCACTTTCTGTACTAACTGAAACATGAACCTGAAAAAATAGATTTATGTCCCCTGTTTCATTCCCAGCTCTAGTCAACCCAGCGGTTACTCTGAGTTCTTCTGCAATCAAGAAAGCAGGGCAGGATAGGATAATAGGCATCTTGATCCCACCAAAGCAATGGGTTTCTTACTTAACTGCTCCTGTGTCCTAAGGCTGAATTGGTCAGGCTTATGCTTCTAATCACATCTACGTTAAGATGGTATAGAGCAAACAATAAACTATTGTATTACGGGAGTGGTGCTGGTCTGGAACTAAATGCTTAAACAAGTCTTCATTTGTATCTAATCACCAGGTCTCAACCATCTACGTTGTTGTTCTTCATGAGTGTTTAATTTTCTTACTAGTAGCGGTTGACCTGTTTAGGGGAATGGTAGCCTTTTGTAGTATTGAACAGGCTGGCCTGCTCCATAATGAATTTTGTGGAACACTAAAAATTTGAGATTCTTAAGGAATTTCTGTGCATACTTGCTTGTGTAGGTAGGTCCCGGCTTAGAGACTTAGGTCAGCCATACATGTAGGACATGCATTTGTGCATTTGGTATATCTTTTTCTGGTTTCATAAATGATATGTTAAAGAAAAGGAGAACAGGCATTCTCTACACTTTTTTTTTCTTTTTTTTTTTCTTTCCAAAGCTTAATTCATTATCTTTTTATGCCCTTACTGTCAGTGTTCGCTTTAAAGTCAGTATGTAAAGATGCCACTTTGAATCTGAAAAAGGTTGTCCTTAGAGTTCTCTGCCTACCATCAGGCTCAGGAACCCTGTACCTTTCAGGACAGGTTTTTTGATGATCCAATGTGCCAAGGTAGGTTTAGTAATACAACAACTTCAGAATACAATATCTTCAGAATTTAAGAAAACTGTCAGCTGAGCCTGAAGGGTAAAATGACTTAAAGGGATAGGTCTTCTACTGATAGCTCCTGTAGGAGTAAGGGTCTGTCCCTGCACTGTTTTCCTTACTTGCCACTTCATGACTCTAAATGGTACCTAATATGATTGTTGATGATTTAGCGCCCAGAGCTCAGCTGAAAGAATCAGGATACCTGTTGCTGCAGAAATTTTCTGGTTTATTTAGGAAGCAGTTCTCAGCTTGGTAGCACCAGTTTTCTTTCTCAGGGTACTGGGGCAGACACAGGAAGAATTAGCTCTTCCAAAAGCAGCCATAAAAAAAGTAACCAGCATTGTTAATTTGTAATTAGTAGACTTGTGTTACCAAAGTCTGAATCAACCCTGCTTTCTCATTCCATCTTACACTGCTGTTGGTTCTTGTAGTGACATTAAGGTCTTTAGGAGATAGATGAGAACACAGAAGCAAGGAACACCGGGTTATTCTTGTCTCCTGGTTTGCTTGGGGCTAAGGTTGTTGGAGTTTAGGAGCTTGAAATTGACAGAACTTGAGCTAATGAAGTCAGGAACGTGCTGTATTTCTTTTTCACCTCATGTACCCATGTATCTATGGAGACAGCTCACTTATTTTCATCTAACTGCTACTACACTTTCTTAATTGTACTACCTAAGGTTGTTGAAGAAAATGTAGTAGCGTATCTAATCTTGTGTTCCTCAGTGACATAAGGGAAGGCAAGTGATGTCCAAAGGTACTTATTGGGATGTTAACCTCTTCACTCACTATGATTTCACATACTGGGTTGAAGAACTTTCTCCTTTGTGGGTGACAATTTATTTACCCTGTAAGATTGGGATTATAAAGGCAGCCCAATTTACACCAAGACTCCCATTCTTTGATGTTAGCCTTGAAGATGACCTTATTAACTTTTCTTACTTCAAAGTAGAAGGATAATTCTGAGTCTGATTTGGGTATAGGTGATAAACCCCAACTGTATTCTTCTCTTCACCAAAGAAATAGTGCCTTACGTAGAAGGAGGGCAGCCAAGATGGTGAAAGGTCTCGAGGGCAAGGCTTATGAGGAGCGGCTGAAGTCACTTGGCTTCTTCAGCTTGGAGAAGAGAAGACTGAGGAGTGACCTCATCACAGTCTACAACTTCCTCAAGGGAGGCAGTGGAGAGGGAGGTGCTGATTTCCCCTCTCTGGTGACCAGTGGTAGCGCACAAGGAGATGGAATGAAGCTGTGTCAGGGGAAGTTCAGATTGGAGGCACCTATGTAGGCACCCTGAAATTAATCCACTTCTGAAGACTGTTACTGGGAATGCGACCAAGTGTCCTTCCTTCAGGCTTCAGTTGAAGGAATAAAGGTTGAGAAATCATCTTAAGTGATGGACTTTCTCTGGTTACCTATTGTAGAGAAAGTGCCTCTTAAGTGAGGTAATTGCACATTTGGCCAAGCTAGTATGACAAACTCTGGCAGGTGTGGGGTGAATCTTGTGAAGTAGACAAGAACACCAACACATGGAATAACTGTCCTTTCCTGTAATAACACTGTGAGATAAAACCTTTTTCTGTTAAAATAAAGTTCTCTAAAAAAAGGACTTGAGCTGTATTATTTGGAGTGCAAAGCAAATTCACACACAAGACTACAGCACCAGTACTTTCTCCAAAGCCTTGGGTGTCCAGAGTAGAGGCTTCTGTTTTATTACTTGGTATAACACAATGTGGCCTTTTGCTTATCAAAGTATAAACTGTTATGCTGGCCTTTTGCAGAGTGACAGGAATGATTTGGGACCTGACTGGGATAGCCCCCAAGATGTTCATGTCCCCATAGCTGTTAAGATGTTCTCTACCAGAGTTGAAGCAGGTACTGTACCATCCCTAGATAAAGTGATGGAGTTAATTTACGAAATACTATGGAGTTTCTGAAGCCTCAATTTTGGCAATATGTTCAACAAAGCAGTATGCCCATGGCTATACTCTTAGAGGTCTTTCTCCCTCTCGCTGACTGGTTGCTGCCTTGGATGAAATTGTAGTTTTCTAACTTGATACATGTTGTCTATAAGCATAGTTTGCAGTATACCTTCATATAAAGCACAGAAAAAGTAGGAAGGAGAAAAGGAAGAAATGCATTTCAGTGGCATGAGTGTAATTCCTTGCATTAGGAATGTCTGTAAATGTGCTCCTGCTGAAAATGAGACAGTTTTTATTGCAAAAGCTGAAGAGTTGCATGCTATGAAGCTTTTATTTGGCGTGTGTCCCTTCATAACCTCAGGTTGCCTCCATTCAATTGCAGAATATGTACTTTGCAGTAAAAGCTGCTTCTTTTTCCCCAGTGAACAAGCTGAAAACAAAGACCAGAATTGCAGTGACCCTCTAGGAATTGAGTTTATTCATTCTATGCAAAATCATTGAAACATTGTTTGTGCCACCAGGATATCACTTGTGACTTGGTTTCTAGACTTACAGAGAATAGCATATTCTTTGGGGTTATTTTCTAAAGTGGAGTGCCAGTGCAGTCTTTGACAGGATTATAAGATAAAGTCGGGATACATGGTAGTTTATGAGAACCAAAAAGCTTAAGACCATGTCTCTAACCTTCCTTTTAGTCTTAAATAATGACATTAGCAAAAAAAAATAATCTCTGAACTGTTGCTGTTAGACTTGAGCCTGAAGCTGACCCTTCTCTTGGGAGGATGGGAAGCCTGGTCAGCAGTGATTTCTCCATGGGTGTCATTGGGAAGAGGCAGGCTGTTTCTGCCGAGTCTTGGCAAAAGCTGGTACCTTCTGATAGAATTCCAATTTCTGCAGCAAACTGCAAGGGTGAAACATGTTTTTGTGTATTGTAGTAGCAAGAAGAGGGAAGCAAGAGAAGGCACGGTGGAAACCTGATATCTTAGTTTCTTCTACTTTTCCCTTAACAACAGTTGTGCAAGGTGGGCTGTCATAAGTCTACCATTGCTACAGCTTGAGGCATGTGTTTCTCTCTGTCAATCTGTTTTCTTTACTCTCTCTACAGATGGAAATGGCAGTCTTGCTTAAGTTGGTAATTGCAGAGGATGTATTTTGGATCGTGCTCTACTTAAGTGACTCCACATCTTCATGCTGCCTGTGCATCTATTTTTACAAATGATAGTGGAGTTTCACAGTAGAAAGGATGCTTCTTCTGTGTTTAATCTAGGTAGTGCATTTCCAAAATGTGCAAGAGGGCCAAGGAGATATTTCTGGGCTAGTTGAAACCACAGATAATTTATCTTCTGTTTGTGCCCCACTATCCCAGGCAGACTTGAGAACCCCTTTGTGCTAAGCCCTATGTGGGAAGCTGTGAGGCCAGAACAGAGATAGGGCATCATGAGCTATGCAGTGACATGGCACAGGTATCTGTTCAGGGGTTGTAGATATGACCTAGAACACATGAGACTTGGGGCATTATGGAGCAGCACTGAAGTCTTCCTGGGGGACCCTGAGGCATTGTGGATGGCATTTGGTGTCTGTGTACAACAATGGAATTGAGTCAAGGGGTACTTCCCAAAGAGCTTACTGGCCTAATACACTCCTTTCCCTTGTGTCTGCCTTGTTTAAAGCACCAGCAGCATGGTCAGGGCTGGCTAAGGTCAAGAGGTTTTCCATATGTATTTGTAAAAGTAGATGGAGTAAGTGAGTAACCGAGTGGGAAAAGAGGGAGCTTTAAAGAGCAAGTGATTTGGAAGGAAGAAAAGTGTGGGAAAGGAGGACAAAGTCAGAGGTGCCAAAATACTAGCAAAGGTCCTTTGAGGGGCAGAAGGAGGGAATGGCCAGCAGCAAAAGAAGCAACAGCTGGTCAAAACAAAATGCTGTGCTTCCTGACTGGGGTTGGGAGGTTGCAGACCATCCACTGCCACCGGCCCACTTCTCTGTCTCAGGCATGACCTGCCTGTCCACTGAAGTTTGCTGTGCCATTAAGAGTCACAGGTCTTTGCCAAACCTGAGATTATATTTTGAAATAATGTATTAAAATAAGCAGAAAATTCTTCTGGTCAAAATGCTTTGCTAATGTTTACACTTATAATCCCCACCTCCTCCTTTTCCCTCTACTGCAGCCTTTCCCGTCTGGGGAACAAGAGAGCCAAATGTAGATTCAGCCTCATTTCTTTGGAGTGAACCAACTCCTTAACTCTCTGCTGTTTTGCTTCCCACTCAGTGTCTGGCTACGCAGTCTAAAAAAGTGAGCAGGCACTACTTACTCTGCTGCCATTTACTCCCCTTCCAAGTTCCACCCTCTCTTCCCCCTCCCCAGCTCTTTAACTTCCCATTATAAGCTACATGAGCTTTAGCACAGCTGTCTGCATAGGAACATCTTGTCAAGCAGTCCAGCAACCCGAAGCCAGCATCAACGTCAGGCAGGCGACAAAAGGCCAAGGCCAGAACTCAAGGAAAGCAGCAGGGCAAGGAAATTCTTCTGCTTTCACTCCACATACTAGGGAAATAGTTAATTCCATGGAAATCCTTCTTCTCTGCCAATACCTTGCTCTGCGGTGTTTTGAAAAAAATGTGCATAAGATGCCCTGATGATCATTAACTGTCTTTCTTAATGCTGGAAGAGGGAACTGCATTAAGGCCAACTTCTGATTTACAGTTATCTTTGTGTAGCATCCTTCTTGCAACTTCTTCCAAACTAGAGAGAATGTGTGTATAGAGTGAAATAGTAAAATGGGTCTTGGAATGGGAAGCTGGCTTCAATCTGACCTATGTAGAGCAGAACACATCTAGCAGATGTAACACATTATGAATGTTTTAGAAACTAAGGGGAAAAAAAAACCAACCAACTTCTATAGTGGTTTGCTGCAAAGTGGCAAGCTGTCAATAAGATAAAGAGTTATGGAAGGTTGTCCATGTAGATGAAGCTGCTGAGGAGAAGACTCTTGTACTCCCATGGGGTTATTGCAGAAAAACGTACAGGAGTCATTGAAAAGAAGCTGATGCTTGAAAGAAGCAAGATTTTCTACAGCTGACTGGAACAATGAATATAGGGATTAAAAAGTGAAAAGGAGAATGAAGTTCTGTTATTTCCAGGATCCAATGGAAAAACTAGATTGGATTTGCTGTGCTCCTGTCAGTTTTATGTGGGAAAAAAAATAATAGTAGAGTTCTGCATGAACTGCAGTTTGTGGACAGCAGAGAGTTTATTTTTCTATATAACACTTTCCTAAGACGCATTTTCTACTTACTTCTTTCCCCCACACAAAGAATATACTTAATCTTAATTCTGAGGAAGTGAAATTTCTCACTTGTGGAATGTTGTTATTTGTTCAATCCTAGAGACTTCAAATTATATAGATAGAAATGACCTGATAGATACTAATGTGGGACCTTACCTGAATGTTTAAAGACGCAGTAAGGTAAACTTAGAGACTCTGCTGTGTTTTCAGAACTGTATGGTTTTGATGTCCTTATTGATGACACTCTGAAGCCCTGGCTGTTGGAAGTGAACCTGTCCCCATCACTTGCCTGGTAAGTGATTCCCGGTTTAATACGAGGCTGGGACTGTTGCTAGAGATGGTTTTTCTTGAAACTTGTGGTCCTAGGAGGGTATTATTTCATGATGCCTGCAGAGTATTCGATCCACTGCTGAACTGAGAGAGAGGGATAGTCCTTTGCTTTTCCCTTTGCATAAACAAACTTGTTGCAGCAATAGGTTTTGAAAGAACCCAGTTGGGATTCCATTTTCTTTTTAATTATTTCTCCTCCACAGGCCATCATCACTGTTAACACTTCGGAATCTGCTATCATAGTCAAATTTTGAAACTGTCTAGGCTATTGTGCGGGGTTTCAATCTGCGTGACTGAGTGGAATCTTTAAGGTTTTGGAGTCCAAGCAGAGCTCAGGGATTATACTTCACTTGAGTATGTAGATGCATGCTTGGGCTCAAATTTTTGGCCTAGTACTCTCTTTAGCTAAAATACAAAGAGTGAGTCTTGTCTTGGCCCTTATGCTGACCCTCATACTCTAATGAAACCTGAGGAATTATATTTGTAGATATCCAACTGTGTGTTTTCTGGACTACTGTTTAACTTTACAGGAGCACAGATGCACAATATATTTCTGTAGTATAATGAGCAATATTTCAATTATGACAGTTTAAATAAGCTTTAAGTTATATCTTCCTGGAATAGCCATATCTTACCTTCCTCTTAATTTTTTTTTCTTCCTTCTTTATTCTGCATAGAAATTTTTTCACGCACTGTTCATAGCCCTACCTTCCACAGTACCCATTTTGTTTTCAGGTGCAACTAGAATGTTTCCACCATACTTAATTTCCTGGTTTAGTGGTTTATGCTTATATACATACACACTGAATTATTTGCATCCTTTGCTACTTAGAACTCTAAGTTGCATCTGCATCCTTTGCTCTGCTTTATGATTGCCACTTTATTTGTCCAAGCTATTGGCATCTATCACTGTGCCGTAAAACATGGCTGATTCCTCTGCTTCCAAGGAATCAAACTTTGCCTGTCTGATCTGAATTGTATTCATTGATTTACCTCCCTTTCCCACCCCCAGATAGAATTATGGATGATTCTCACCTATTCCCAGTGTTTGATCTTTTAAAATCTATCACCCTTGCTAAGCATTTGTTCCCATCCATTAGAACTAACCCATCTGATTTCATGATTTTAGGTGGAGAAGGCATAAGTAATTGTGCCTCTGTATACAACCTCTGTCTACTCCATGAAATGTAGCATCAATAATTCAAAGAAAATGTTTCTAGTCAAGCAGAGCTAAAGCAAGGCCATACATTGCTGCATTAGAAGACTGAAGCTGTGAAAAAGGATAAACAGATTAATGTGTTGAGGTTTTGTCTTTACCTGTGCGTGTGAAAATCACCCAGTTTTCCTCCCATGTTGATTTTGTCTGTGTTAAGGACTGATACAAAGAAACTATGTTAGAAGATATCTTGGATAGTGATGCATTCCTCCCATTTAATGCCAGACAAATAATGTCCTCTTGTCCTCTGTTGCATGTGTGAATAGCGATGCTCCTTTGGACCTGAAGATCAAAGCCAGCATGCTCTCAGATATGTTCACTCTTGTAGGTGAGTGTAACAAAAAGCTTTTCAATCTTTCCCTCATTTAAACCAATAAAAGGTAGATTTGAGCTGCATGTTATTAGGTGAGGTGTTATAATAGAGGAGAACTCTAATTAAGGAGAGCAACTGTATTTAGTACTAAGAAGTTATATGTGGACGCTTCAGCTTCAGAATAATCTGGCTGTTTGTGATGTTTAGGTGGTGTTAAGAGTCTCTGGCTTATTATTTAATGACATTACTCTTTCTTTTTAGCAGGTGACTTCTGTTTAGCCTGCAGAAGAATCAGTATTTATGCATTTTTTAAAATTTCTTTTTAGGTTGCATGTGTGTGTTCTGGTTAGGCTATGTTAGAAGTGGAGTCATGATTGTGCACTAGACAGTCATGCAGCTTTCACAACACCTTTTAGGCATCCATAGTATGTCTTGGTTCAGTTAGTTGCTGCAGTTTACCCCTAATACTAAAAGAGGCAGAATTGCTATCTGGTAACCGCTCAGAGAATCAGGAAATGAAGCCTATCTCTATGCTGTTATTCAGTAACCTGTCTTATTGATTTAGGTAATTGGTTTTGAAGCAAGTTACAGTTTTATTCAAAAACATGTAATGCAATGTACAGTTTGGGATTAAACAAAGCAAGTTATAAAAAATGAAAGCATCCTTTTTGGTTTTTTTGGCAGGGACAGGGAGGTCATGTATAGACTGAGATCATTAACAGGAATGCTAGGTTTATATTTCAGGGTTTGCCTGTCTTAAAGTTCTTACGTGGCTCCTGATGTCTATAGGTTTTGTGTGCCAGGATCCAGGCCAGCGGTCAAGCCGGTCTGTTTATCATTCATCTGAATCTGCCAGGAGAAATCCATACCAGAAGCTGCAGGTAAGTGACTCCAACAAGCCAGAGCTGAGGAACATGGCAGGCAAGTCATTGTCATTGAATTTAGCTCACAGGTGAGAGAGACAGTTGAGTACATGAGGGCTTCTCTGGATTTCTAGCATCTCTACAGAAGAGATTCAGGGGTTGCACCTGAGCTATGGGCTCTTTGCCACTTTTGTTTTGTTGTGGACAATAAGCTTCCAGAACCCTAGAGCTTTATGAACGTTTCCAAGATCATCTAGGGAGAAGGAGATTTTTGCATTTGAAATTTAAGGCTTCTTTCCCCTGGGGGAACACCGTTAGTTACAGGCCTCTAACTGGACTCTGCACCATTGATCACAACCCTCAGAGCTTTGTCATTCAGCCAGTTTTCAGTCCACCTCACTGTCCACTCGTCTAACCCACATTTCTTAAGCTTACCTATGAGGATGTTATGAGAGACAGTGTCAAAAGCCTTGCTGAAGTCAAGGTAGACAACATCCATTGCTCTCTTCTCATCCACCCAGCCAGTCATTCCATTGTAAAAGGCTATCAAGCTGATTTCCCCTTGGTGAATCTGTGCTGGCCCCTCCCGATGACCATTTTTTTCCTTCTATATGCCTAGAGATGACATACAGGATGAGCTGTTCCATCACCTTTCCAGGGTTGGAGGTGATGCTGACCAGCCTGAAGCTTTGTGGGTCCTCCTCCTTGCTGTTTTTGAAGACCAGCATGACATTAGCTTTCCTCCAGTCCTCAGGCATCTCTCCTGTTCTCCATGATCTTTCAAAGATGATGGAAAGTGGCTTCGTTATGACATCTGCCAGGTCCCTCAGAGCTCATGGGTGGATCCTATCAGGGCCCATTGATTTGTGGGTGTTAAGTTTGCTTAAATGATCCCTAATCTGATCCCCCTCGATTGAGGGAGACTCTCCCTTATTCCAGGCCTACCTCCAGACAATTTAGCTGTTTCCTATGTAATTTATTGTTGATTTGGGTTGGCGCTCTTTCAATTAATCATAAGCAGTAAAGGGACCTCAACCTGTTTTGTATAGACCAACTGTAAAGAAGAACTTGGCCATAGTACAGCTAAAAATGATAGATAGGTCTCTTGGGAATCCTTTCATATACCATTTGCTGTTCTTGGGCATCGTAGAGTGAGTAGGAAGGCAGCCTGAATACCACCAAAGGCAAGAAAAATCTAAGCTGCTCTGATAATAGTTTTCTTTTGAACCTACCCCATCATTAAACTGGTCTTCCTTGGAGGTCTGATGCCAGATAAATAATACAGGGTACATTTTGACGTTCTGCTGACATTTCTACACCTGTTTTGGGATGTTAAATAGAATCTTTTTTCTCCACAAGAACTGGAATACTGTTGAGATATTTAAATGGAATGACTTCTGGATGTTCAGGATTTTTACTATTTTTTTAACCCTCTCTTCTATGAGCAAGTCTACTTGACAGCATCTGTTTCTCTTTAATACATAGCTATTAAGGATTTTCCTCTGGGTAACTCTTATCTTGCAAAGTATGGATTTTGGTTGTGAAAGTTGAGTTCATTCATCTATTCTGTAGAGCTCTTTTCTTGCTTTTGAAAATTATGTGTATGCACAGATGGATTCTACATGGTTGAGCACATCTGAGGTTAGGATTAGTGCTGTGTTTGGAATGGGGACAGGGTATATTTGTGGAGGACATGACGAAGATCTGAACTGAGATGGTAGAAGCTCTTAGCTATTTCTCTGGACTTCAGTTATACCTTTTTGCTTTAGGGCTCTCACCACTCCTCTGCACTTGGGCAGGGATGATAGCATCTTGAAGAAACAAGGTTTTTACTCTCTTTGTGTGTCTCTTGCAGCGTCCTGTGTCCGCGCAGTTGCAAACAGCAAACACCAGATTGGTAAGTACCCTTCAGTTCCCTTCACCAATATAAGGGATGCAATTTCAAATGTTACCTTGTACAATACTTTTTGGTGCAATTGATCCCAAAATATATTTTGCAGCTAAGTAGCCTGGTGGGGGGAGAAGTCAACAAGAAAAGAGGAGATGGATAGGTGCTAGCATAGGTTTCCATGCGGCTAGAGCAGAGATTAGAAAAATATTAACATCTGTTCTAGTACCTTAAAAAAACGGTAGGTGAGGTGTGCTCAGAATCAAGGTCAGCTGGGTCAAATCCCTCAAAGTTTTAAGCCCGCAAGTATTTCTGAAGTGCGTTTTAAATAAATTGAATATAGATGTTTAAAGATAAGTTGTTACTCTGGTCATCAAATGATGAAGACAGTGGCAGCACAGTGTTCTGGATTTGGTAAGTCATTGAAAAGGAAAGCGCAAAAACAAAGGAAGAGCTGGTGAAAGCAGCAGTGAATAGGAGGAAAGCAGCAGTGAAAGGGAGGATTTTTGTCTTGTGTACTACAGGGGATGGAATAAGTCTGAATGAAAAGGATCACACAGGTGAATCTGTACTGACAAAACTTATTTGGCCCCATAAGGGAAGTAATCGTTTTCTATGAGGCAGTTATCTGAAGGAAGCTACAAAAACTTGAGAGTGAACTGGGTAAAAATAAATACAGAGATAAGGATTTATTAAAGATAATGGAAAAATGGAAGAACTACTGTTAGCATAAGTCAGACTGATCCACCTTTCTGTTGTATTTGGCACCCTTCTTGCAAGCCATATGGGCAAATCAATGTTAGTTTACAATTCGAAGCACCTGGCTGTGTGGGGACACAGTAGGCATTATTTTGCTGCTGGGCTTCCTGCGTGAACTTAATAGCAGTGATTCTCATGTTTTTTGAGGTTTCCCAGCAGGAAGGAAGGTAGGACAGATGGAATCATCTTGAGAACCTAATTCATTCTATGCGCTGCTGTTTATGTCATTCTGTGTAAGTTTAGCTGAAGCTAAGAGAGAAGAGTCGTATTGAATAACGAGGTTTCATAGAGAATAGGAAGGATCTTTATGCCAACTGCTGTCAGTGCTTAGTATAGTTAGAATCATGATGTGGGAACCAGAGATGCTTGCAGAATTTGGAGATAAAGTGGTTGGATTTGTCTGTACTTTCAAAGATAAGCTGGGTCAAAGAGGAAACAAGATCTTTGTGAAGTTGGAGATGTTTCTGTGCTACAGCCAGAGAGAATTCTGCAGTGAAACACTGGGGAAAAAAAAAAAAAAGTTTGTTCAGGAAGTTTAGTAAAGTTAGTTTTTCTCTAGCATTTTGACAGTGGTGCAGTTTGTTCTCGGGTAGGAGCCAAAGCTTCACTTGTCATAAGAGCCAGAGCTGCTAATACATAAGCATACATTTTCTGTTTGTGATCAATGAAATCATCTCTATTGTATTGAGAGACAATGGAGATGACTTCATTGAAGTATTTCCTTAGTAAAGGAGATCATCTGATAGGATGAAACATTTCCTGTAATACTCTCTTTGAGAATATCATTTCACATGATGATTGTTATGGTAGTGTCAGGAAATGGTTTTTGAGAGGAGCTTTTAGAGGAAGTTATTAAGCAGAGTTGTTGAGCTATGCTTTTGAAATGGAGGAAAGCTTAGGAAGAAAGACTAAAAGCCTTTCAACTTAGTCATTTACAGCATCAAGCAAACTTTGACTACTGACACTTTTATTTCTTCTGCAAAAGCTTGTGTCTCCTACCTTCTCATCCACATTGTCTTGTTTTTCCTATTTAATCAGTTTTCATTGGGCTTAACAAAATGTTTCAGCTGGCACCTGCTAAGGCTGTTTTCTCTTTGGATCTTTCTGTGCCGGTCACTGCAGTGTAACCCATTCTAGTGCAATGCCTGTTGCTTTTGCAATTGTTTCATCTGCAGATTCTGAGTAGCTGCTTGCAATTTCTAATGCAACAGAATGGAATTTAAAAGTTTCTGTCACGTTTTTCTCTCTCTAGATGAAGAATGCTCTCTGTGCTTTACTCAGTGCTAAAGAGAATTTGAATTTTGTATAACGGCAGGAGACTTTCTCAACTACACTGTAATGCTGTTTTTTACAGAAGTAGTTTATCTGAACTGGGCCTAACACCAGCTAAAGTATACTTGAGATCATGTTCAAAGAGTTCAGATTTTATAATTCTGATAATTTGAAGAGACTTTGAATTCCTGTCCTCTGTTAGAATTGATCAGGACTGCCTGTCAGGTTAAGAATGACCTTGGAGAGACTGTCTGTAAATATTTCTTTTCTTATTTTTTAAATTTGCTTATGTATGCAAATATGCATGATGTATCTACATACATGTACAAGATCTGACAAAGGAGTGAGAGAAGTAGCAAGTTGAGATCTAGCAGTATAGTAACAAAAGAATAACAGGTGGTGAACTGAGTTTTTCACTTTTTCCCTGCAACTGTATCTCATCAGTGAATTACAGTTCTGTTTTTCTTCTGTAGCAACACAAATGGAACAGGGAATCATGGTACCACTGAGGTGTGAAAACAAGTGTATTTGGGCCCTGTGCAGGTGAATAGTGGCTCTAGTGCCCCTTGCTTGAGGACTTTTCTGTATGAAATCCTGGCTTTGGTGCTTTCGAGTATCTCTCATGTTTTTCCAGAAGGAGCCAGGGATGTAAATACTAGCACCAATGCCTGAATCGTGAGTCCTGCTGTGCTTAAAACTAGGAATGTGAATACTCACACTTAGCGCCTGCTGGGGTGTGGACTCCTCAACAGCTGGAGTGTGGAATTGTGAATTCTGACTGTAGTACTCTGGAGTGTAGATTCTGCTGGGTACGAGATCCTAGAATTTGAATGTAACTTTTTTTAAAGTAAGTTGAGAGAGGAACAGGGAAAAATGTGGATTCACACTGTCTCTACAGCGTACCCGTCCTCTGTCTGCCAGTGATGCTGAAATGAAAAACTCGGCGCCCTCAGGGAGGGAAAAAGCAACAGGAAGGCAAGGCAGCTCTATGCTAGGCCTCTCCATAGAGGAGGTAAGTAAGCTATTTAATATCTCTTATTTACCTTGGCTTTCGTGCAATATATGGGGTTATTGCAAAGAGCAAGTGCATATATGTATGAAAAACTTGACAGAAGTAGTATAATTTTTGAAACAGAACTGCTGAATTTTACTGCTGGTGCTGCCTTGCCCTCAGTCATGCCAGGCATACATATGTGCTCCAAGCAGCAATAAATTCCTTCACAATTTAAATGCAAAATGAAATTGCTTAAGGATATAATATATACCCAGCCCACTCCTGGGACAGTAATAGCCTTGTCCTCTGAAATTTAGAGACTTTTTTTCTAGGATTCATTTTTCGTTATATCTATTTTGCTGGCTATCTTTTTTTCTCTTTGTATTCCAAGATGAAAGTTCTTCGTCGAGTGAGAGAGGAGAATGAACGGAGAGGAGGCTTCATTCGGATATTCCCTACACCGTTAACATGGGACCTTTATGGGTAAGAATAAGAATCCAATAGGATGGCTCAGTGTTGCACTGATGCTCTCTGTTGGGGATATTCTGTGTAATATATATGCAGACCAGCTTAGCAATCAGAAGGATGCATATCAAGGGTTTTGGTAGAGTTTATGTTAGTGTTGAGGATGCTTTTTTCTGATCCCTTGTTTTTAGCTGCTGCTGTTTTGCCTAACTGCACTTCATAGAAGGCTGTCAAGCATTGTTTCTAATGTTGCTTTTCTGTCAGAATAAAAATGTCTTCACTTCAGATAATCTGTTCCTGCTATCTGCTTTTATATCCTACAGCTGTGCATACTGTGTACTCTGTCATTAGGCCATAAACACAATTTAGGACTCATCCTAATTTGGTATTACACTTTTCTCATTTTTGCAGTCTGTAATATTTCTCTGCGTCTCTTGCTTCACCAGGAACTTCAGCTGAGAAGTGATAGCTCTTCTCCTTTCCTCTCTTCTGTTATGATACAGCATATTGTCTCAATCCACTTCTGGGATGTTCTTTATAGGTCATTATTTCTGTATTATGATGCCTTTCATTGTGTTGAACTCTATCTTTATACATCCTGTATTTTGTTTTTCTAGATCCTTTTTAGAGCACAAGACATCAATGAACTACATGCTGGCTACACATCTGTTTCAGGACAGGTAGAAAGCTTTTCTATTTGGGAGGGAGGCAAAGAGGACAAAAGGCATGAAAATGATTGATTCCTTGCTTACCCAATATTGTAAACAATGGCCTGTGATTAACAGGGGTGGTAACAGTTGTGTGCCTCTTCTCTAGTGTGCCAGTCACTGTGGAAGTTTCTCACATTTTTACATGTTGTGCTTCTGAGTCCAAAAAAGTACAATACACAAAAGGCATGGGAGTAGTTGAAGTAAAAACATGACTATAGACATGATAAAACCTTCGAGCACCTACCTTTCCCTGTGAAGGGATTATCATGATCCTTGTTTACCTTTTGTTTCAAATTTAAAGTCATGTTAGAGCTTGTCCTCATGTAAAGTAAACACTGAAATTTACTCCAAATGTTTAGTATCTCTATCTTTTGACCTGCGTGTGTGTGTAATTTCATGACTCTCTCTGTGTTTGCTTGGGTAGAAATGATGGTTCATGTTACCAGCTGAAGTTCCATTGAGAGCTGTATGCAGTAGCTTTCACCGTATGTTTAATGCTGTTCCTTCTCAATGTTTTGTTTTTTATCCAAATTTGAGATCCACAATAAAGTACCTACAGAGTAAGGGTAAGGTTGCTGACTGAGGAGACTGTATTTACAGAAGGTCTTCCTGCATCAGCGCTCTACGATTTTTTTGTTCTTGTTGTTGTGTACTTCCAGGGATGTCTAGAGGGTAGCTTCAAATGACACCTCCAATGTAAGCCAGACAGATGCAAGCACCAATTGTAGTACAGCTGCTCAGATTTCCTCTTTTGGAGCCTTTCTTTTCTCCTTTAAGATAGAACTCACAAGGAATTCTCTATAGTTGGCCTTTTCATTGTATATATGAAAGACTTTGGAGGCCTTTTAATCCAGTCAATGGTCCAGAATGGAAGGTAATTTTTGCTGTTTTTTTCCTTTATAGGGACAAGATGAAAGGCGACTTCATCACTGGGAAATCCCGGTAAATGACTTCTTAATAAAATAGTTTGTACTATGTAGGTTTTAATCTAAATATGTATTTCCACAGCTTCATCTTCCAAGTCCTGCGTCAACACCTTTTATACCTGAAATCTGTCAAACTAGTTTTAGAAAAGTAAATACAGTGAGCAGCAAAGAGTACCCCAGCATGTGGAGAGCTTAAGTTTTGTTGGATTGGACCTTAAAATTGCTCCTCTTAGGCTTTCTACTTTGGCATTCCTACCATATTGATAAGCTGCATCATTGAGCTCTCTCAAAAGATCCTGTAATGCATGAGGGTCTTGGACTCATACCCATATATTCACTTTGCTGTACCTGAAAGATAAGTGGAGAAGCAGGAATTTTTGGTGGATGTTCCCTCTTATATCATACAGAACACTTTGCTGGATCTTTGTGCAGTGGCAGAAAGTTGTGTTTGTCTCCCTTAAGGAATCTGGCAGGGCTCTTTCTCCCTTGGTTTAGGCAGAACTTGTAGAAAGGTTGTCATTTTTCACTCAGGTTATGTTAAAATTCTTGTCTCTGACCAAGCAGTGAAGAACAAACTATCTGCATAAAAGGTTCAGAAAACTGGACTCAGGTCCATGTGCTGTCTTCCCACTGCCCTCCATTGTTCCATACTCTTGCAATTCAGTTTTCCCTATTAATTATGCCTTGAGCTGCTGCATGATGGACAGATGCTGCTCAGTCATGAAAGCATGACACTAGATAAGTGCGTTTTGGGACGTTGAGAGTTGATGTTCTGTAAAGTACTTGCAAGACTCCCTTCAAACATTTGCAGGCTTTAAATTGAACAAAGTTAGACTGACCATAAATATTTGTTCCTTGTGTCAGGAAAAGAGGTTCTTGAAGAAATTTAATCTCCTAAGTCTCTTGTATCATCAGGTAGAGAAGTATAAAGAGAGATTGAGGATGTCTTTGTATTATGCTTCCCAGAGCAGGTTTGAATGGAAGGCTGGATACGAGGTTGGAAGCTGTGAACTCTCATGCTCTTTTTTATGAGAGAAAGCTTGTTTCACTGGAGTTACGGAAGCGCCAGCGATGTCATGGCAAGGCTAGAGCAGCACGGACAAGATCATCAGGTACGCATGGCTAGAGTCTTAGATGAGCAGCTACTCAAAACAAAGCAAGCAAGGACTTTTTCATTTGAAATGTGTGTGAATGGGGTTGGTTCTGGCCTTTGTAGTTCCTAAAAGGATTCACAGGTTGAAATTTTCATTTCATAGTTTTAATTTCAAGTGTTAATGGTTTTCACTTCATTCTTCTTCTGAGCTCCCTGCCTTCTAGTGCCTAGAATTTTATTCCTACCATTCCACATCCCCATGTATATGATTAAAGGCAATCAATATTTTCTTGAACATGATCTTGTGGTTGCATTTTGGGTGCAAGAATTTTTGGCTCCCTTTAGAGGCACACATACTGTTGAATTCTTTAGTCCCTCAGCTTTTCAGTGAAAGATGAAAACTTAGGACCTTCCAGGCTGGTTCTCCTACACAGCAGTTTACTCTAAGCTTTTGGAAAGAGGGAAATCCTTCTTATCCAAGCTGTTCTGGGAGAAGCTTAAAAGGATGCAGAGCTGAATGATCCTCTGTAAGGATAAGTGATCTGACCTGTGGCTGTTCTGATCTGTTAAGTGGCTGTTCCTGAAGCCACTATCTAAACTCTTTCTAGTAGCTACATGATACAGACTGCAATGGGAGAGATTGCATGTTATAAAATTATTTTTGGTACTACATTAAGGTATATGATCTTTATTGGCTCATGTGAAAGTTTAGCTTTCATAGCTTTGGTCTTTCTGACACAAAAATACAAAAAACAAGTATATACATGAAGTATGAGTGTGTATATGTCAGTATATACAAAAGAATCAGGATAAAATATAGGAAAATGCATTTGTTTCTTTGATTTTTAGTTTTTTTATGTGTAAAGTTAAGACAAGAATCTTATTCTTTTTTCTCTGATATTGGGAAAATGGGCATCACAAATGTTTGATACACAAGCAGAAAGACAAATAAAGGGCAGTGATCCTTAAGATGCTATCCTAAAATGAGTGTTCTGTCCTTCTAGCAGAAAAGAGTTTAGAAGTAAACCAAAGGGTATAAAGAGCAGGCCAGTCTTCCCCCCTTCTTTTTTTTTTTTTTTCCCTTAACCAGCATAGGTGATTTCTCCTCTACTACAGGGACATCAGAGCCAAGAAAGCTGTCCCTCAAGTCAGACACAGAAGGTGAGGAGGAAGAGGAGGTGGATGCAGATGAAGATGAAGAACTAGATAGAACTGTTGGCTCTCTTTTGGACACCCAGGTGAAAAGCAAGCCAAAGCGCTCTGACTTGGTGAAAACTACTTGTAAGGAGAAGTTGCCAAAAAAACTTAACAGGAAAACTGGAGATGGAGGAGAGCCGTTTCTTCAAAGAACAGACTCAGAATCTCAGTTTAACTTGCTGCAGATTCTTCAGAAGCATGGAAACCTGAGGTGAGAGATTTCAGCATATTTTGCCTTGAGTTTTGCCTAGCAGCTAATATTGGTTAAAATATGGAGGATGTACACTTAGTGCCACATTATGAATGAGTGTGAGAAGATAAGAGGAAAGGGGCCTGGGTTTTTGTCCAACTGTGGGCTGCCTTAACAACTGGTTGGCACAGAAGGGAGATAGTTGCAAAGACTGACAGTTTACCTAAAAGCCTGACCTGTTTCATCAGTGTAAAGCATAAGCCACAGTTTCCATTGCTGTTCTTTGATCTGCTGATGTAAACTGTTCTTCGGTCAACTCAGGCTTCTACAGTGCCTCTCTGTCTTAATGCAGGATGCCTGCTATTGAATTCCAAAATTTGTCTTTTCATTCTTTGCAGTTCCAAAGAGGTGTTTATGTTAAACTATCCAAGAGAGTTTGGATAGGAATACCTCAGTGCTGCCTCTCCATAAAATTAGTTCTCTCACTTTTGTGCTTTTATTTTTGGTGATAGGATTTTTACCTCTAATGATAATCTCTGCTCAAGGTCATCACCTCCTGACAGCAAGATTTGAGAGTGACAAGTTACTGAAACATCTTGTTGCCTGCTGTTGTGTGACAGTGTGGAGCAGACTGTGTTCTGATGCATGGCTCTCTTGAAAAAAAGAGAGGTGCTGGAGGTGATTGTATAGAAATAAACCAACGGCGGGCCTACTAGATGTTTAAGAAGCTTGATCCTTCCCTTAAGTGCGGGTAGTAAAATTGTCTACTTGCTGATGGACAGGAATGGCAAAAAGAACGAGTGATTGTATATATCTGTGTAGGAGGATTTTTACATCTTCAAGATAAGAAGCAGCATTGTCTTTTCTGTAGAAAACGTCCAAAGGCAGAGAAAATAATTGTTGCTTATTCCTGTCTAAGAGGGTTTATCATCAAATGGATTTGGGGATTGTTCTGATGTCGTCTTGTGGCAATGACATTTGCTGTTGTGACAGGGAAGTTTCTGAAACCTGTTTTGAGGATGAACATAATAATGCTGTCATCTACCTATATATAGAACTGACTCCTGCCAAGAACCTAAACTCTGTCTGGTGTTCCTGGCAGAATCTTGCTCAGCACCCAGTACTGCTGGGATTCCCCACTGAAGTGTGTAAGGCTTGTGGTGACCTCATCTTCCAGGACTGTGCTGGGCTTGGCCTCATCTGATCTGTCATTGATGAAAGCTTTGCTTGTGGAGTCAACAGGCAGACGAGCTGAAGTAATGAAATTTTCATCCAAAAGAAACCAGGCTTGTTCCAGTCGGTTTTTATAAGTAGTAGGACTTTTTTCTCTCCTTTAGTCAGCCTGATGAGGCAATTTCTCTGCCTTCTGCACATTGTGTATTATTGGTGAAGAGATGGCAGTCAAAGGAAACATTCCCCCAACTGTGCCATTCTCAGGGAAGTGAAAAGGAAAGGGAGTTACTTGTTCCTGCATTTAAGGCCCCTTTCAATATTTTACACACTGGAGGAGAGGCAGTGTCATATCAGGACCTGCTTCCGTTTCCCATTTTTCCCATTTTGTGGTCACAGAAGTATCAGGTGCAGGCAAAGAATCATGTTACTGTGCTGACGTTGATAACAGAGGGTCCTTAATTCCTACCAACGCAAAGCTTGAACTTTCTGGTCACTAGATGTTTAAGTGACACCTCAAACCAACCTGGCAGCCCTAGAGAGCCCTTGGGGGAGAGCCTTTTCTGACACGTGATGGCCTGATGTATACAGAACAAGTTCTTAGTGAGGGTTCAATGTTCTGATGTTCCACACTTGTTGGGAAGAGAAGAGAGGTGTGGTGACTAGCAGCATACAGCAGTGTTAAAGGCCTGCTGTGCATTCTGGAGTTCGCTGAAAGACAGGAATTGTAACCACGTATTTTTATCACGTTTTAGTTATTGCAGTACTGGTATAGGAGAGGAGAAGAGAAATCATGCTTGGCGGTTCAAGGGACAACTTGTAGTGACTGTGTGGGAAAACTCCAACATTTTGCTCTCCCAGTCTCCATTCTTCCTCGTAGAAGAGGGTTTAGGCCAAGATGACAATGAACAGAATTAGGCAAAGCTTTCAGCAATTTATATCACAACAGATGCATGTGCTAGAGTGACTACCATTGTGAGGGAATGAGAAGCAATATGTCCCTCCCAGTCCTCTCCTCAGTTCATGCTCACAGCTTCCCAACATCTTCAGCCAGCTGCACAGCAGATTTTGCTGATGTTCTTTCATTCTTCAGTGGTGCCTTGCTCAATGAAATTTGGCTTGTGTCCTTGGGCCAGCAGGGGAAGAGCTCACTTTCACAGATTTAATTCTTTCATTTCCAATGGGAATTGCAGGGCCTTTGTTATAACTCTGGCAACAGTACCAAGCCGTTTGTTTATTTTATGCTCTGTTGTTGTGGTGTTCAAAATGCTTGTGAAGACAGAGGCCCAGTAAAGCCTTGAATCTGGTTTAAAAATACACAGTTTTGCTGATGTTCATGTTACTGGCTTTTAGAGGAGAGTAGCTAAGGCTGTGAAAAGGCAAGGAAAGTATTCAATTTTTAGAGATGATCTTAGAACTTAAAAAATACAGCAGACGTTCTCTATCTCCTGCAATGCCTATCCCATCTTGGTGAACTGAAGGTCTCCTTGAAAATACTGGTGGGGTGAAGTGGTCCTTCCCTTGAGCTTTAATATTTGTGTACCTAGGAGGTTCTTGCTGACAGTACAGTCCATAAGCTGTGCCTGACTTCTGTAACTCTTCTCATTACTACTCTGAAGACAGCTGACTGATTCTCTTGGTCCACAGCAAAGTGCAAGCTCGCAGGGCTTTCTCTGCCTATCTACAGCATGTTCAGTTGCGACTGATGGAGGCTGGTGACCAGATCCACAATCCTGCCTGGGCTGCCAAAGAGGATGAGCAAATGGTAAGCTTTGTGTCGGTCAGACTGAGAAGCCAAGCTGAAATCTGCCTTGAGAATTTAGAGGTCAGTTCCCATCGTTGGAAGAACTGAAGCCTAATTGAGATTATAGTAGTCTATCTTTGTCCAGCTGCCAGTGCTGTGTTTTTAATACACAGACAAGGTAGGAGTGCTGACTGATAATCTGAGCAGCAACAGAGTTAAGCAGCTCTTAATGACTAGAGTGTGGCTGACATGCAAACTGCTGAGATCTTTCACTGGTTCTTCTTTGCTGCTCTCTGAGCTTACCTGTTTTAGAATTCTTCTGTCTAACATTCTTTAAGATTACTTGGCAGTATCTGATTTCTGCTGCATTAAACAAAGTACATGTCTACTCAAATAGAACAGGTACCCAGTTAAGCTTTTTTCCCTATACTGTTTTAGTCTTTGCAGGCACCTGCACTTAGGAATCTTCCTTGCATAGTAGATAGAGGGGAAAAAAAGTAAAAGCTACGGTGAAGAGAAAGTTACTTTTTACCATAGGTGCTTAGTTCTGTTTTGTTTTAGTTTTTTTTTTTTTTATGAGTTTTTCTAGGCAGTATTTTAAAGCCCTAGATTTGATGTATATGTTTTAAAGAGTGCAGCAAGCCCAGATCCCCACACAAACCATCCTAAAAGAGCTTTGTACAGTAGGCTCTTGAGCTTTCTGCAAATCCAAATGTATTCTTGCTGATGCATGTTGCAGGGAAACAGCCAGTGCAGTTCAGAGATAAAATTGTGTGTCAAGAATAATCAGTCGACTCAGTGGAAAATGTTACTCCTGCTCTTTCCAAGTGGAAATTAAAACTGGCTTTTTGCGAGTCACTTTGTCTGCTGTACTGTGAAAAATAATGTTTAAAATAACAGATCAAACCAGCCTGGAGTAATGGCAGTGAGAGGCGAGCTGTGAAATCCAATAGGTTGGCTGTGAGGCTGCTCATTTATGCATTACCAGAGCTCCTAACCAAAAGCAAATCCAGAGAGGAGACAAAAAGGGCTCGAAACACCCACAGGATGCATCTTGCCTTAGGATCTGCCTTGACACATGTTTCTCCCACCAGAGGTCAAGCAGACGTGGTGGGGGATTGGAGCTACATGGCTGTAGTTGTAGTCATCTGTTGCTGTGGAGAGGCTGTGGCAATAGTACACATACATGAAAAGTGATGAAATGGGGCTATATCACTGCAGTGGAGGTTTCTGACCAAGATCCCCATCCCTCTGGTAGTGCTGGGAGGGTTTTATGTCAGTACACTTCATCACAGGCCACCTATAACACATTGCAGATTGTTTATTGGAAATGTTCGCCTAAAGTATTGGACTTTACAGGTTATTATGTGGTGTAGCTGCTTTTTGCATGGTGGTGGGGTTTTTTTTGTCTTCTTTATCTGCCATACTTTTCAGACAAATGCTTCTGAAGTGTTCCCTGTGCTGACCCACCTTAGGCAAGGCATGGCACACCATCGTTCTTCTCCCCTCACCCTGGATTTGTGGGGCTATACTAAAAATGCATCTTTCAGAATGCTTTTGCCTGCCAGTTATCAGCTCATTTTCTCAGGACTGTTCTCTTTCCACATCTTGCAGCTGGTCCCTTGTTAACTCTGTCTCTCTGGCTTGCAGGAGCTTGTGGTACGCTTTCTGAAGCGAGCTGCCAGCAATCTTCAGCAGTCCCTGAGGATGCTGCTCCCCAGCCGTCGTTTAGGACTGAATGACCGTCGTCGTGCCCTGGCTCACCAGCTGGGCGAGTTCATCATCTGTTATAACAAGGTGAGTAATTCTTTCTTGATTCTTCTTTTGGTAGCCCATTTGGTTTCTGTTCCCTTCTTCTAAAGTATCTCCTGCTGGGCTACTGTAATATTCAAGACAACAGGCTGTTTTAAAGGCTCTGTTCTGTAATTTACATGGTCTGTTTGCAGTTGCACATCCAGTGATGGTAGTTTGTAGTGTTCTCAAACCAGGACGTTTGTCTGTTCAATTTGTCAGGTAGACAACAGTATTTCTACATTATATATGCATTATATTATGCTATATTATATATTATACATAGCATAATATGTTACTATATCATATATGCAGTCTGGTAATCATGTGCATAAAAGTAAAAAGAAGTGTTGAAGTGGAATTTAACTGGGTGTTTGCTTTTTCTTTGGCTTGTCTGATTCCAGTGCTTTGTAATGCCTCTCCCCATTTCTCCCTATTTTTACGATGTTTCTTTAGGGGTAATTTTTTAAATACAGAACGGTATGAAATATGTATTTTACCATTTGTTTGGTATACTGAGGGACTGCTACCTATCTGTAATATGGGACTCTGCATGCTCAGTGATAAAGAGAAATAGGTCATAATTTAAATAATTTTCACCTCTTAAGGTGTCGAAAAGGATGTTCTTAGCATAGTGGTTTCATGTTAATCCTTGTTTTGCAGGAACAGCTTCCCCTTTCCTTTGCCCCCTAGCATTTCTTCAGTGTTAGAACAAGGGTAGTTTAAATTTTGTTCTCGGAGGCTGCTGTGCACACTGGCCTCCAAGCTCTTACTTGTTAGCAGAGGATGTTCACTTACATTAGCTTGTCAGAACTGACATCTGGTAACTTGATCTGTCAAGGCAAGGTTGGTATTGAACCAAATCTGTTCCAGGGAGTGCCTTGTATGCCTAACGCTCACTGAATTACTGTGTTAGGAGTAACCACAAAACACTCGGGTGGCTCTGTGGTGAGTGAAGAACGCAGCTGCTTTGGATATAATTTCCACTCAAATTGTATTCAAACATGAGGATTTTCTACTAGCTCTTGAGTAAATTCACAAAATGAAGCTGTGTAGCTGGTAATAAATCAGTGCATAAGCATATTTTCTCAGTTAAAACAAGTGAGAACAGATCACTTGAGGTTTTAGGACGTACATGTTTAAGCCATTGAGAGACTCTTAGGCTATGAGGTTTTTTGATGTCTGATTCCAACATACAGACTTCTTTCACTGACTTGTAACTTCATATTTAGTAGGGGACTCCTACTAGCCAATATGTATCTTCTGCAATGACACAGAAGAAAAAATACCACCTCCAGCAAACTAAGTAAAATAGATTGCATGTTGTCCAGACTATTGCTTAAGTAGTGAAGGGTAGAAATGTGTCCCCAGAGTGGCTGCTTCTTCCCCCTTTTGAATTTTCTTTCAAAAGATGTCTCTGACCTTGTCATCCTGGGAATGCTCAGGGTACCTGTAGGAAGCAATGAAGTGGAGGTCAAGTCTGGTCAGATAAAGCTCATATGCTGGTATTGGTATTTCAGACAGGCCTGTAGGGGTTTTATAATTAACAAAAATGTTTGTATCAGTACAGTGTCTCGTATCAACAAGTTCTACTGGTGTAAAATAGATCATTTATATCTGAGAACTTATTTTCATTCTCGTACACAAGACTTACCGTCTTTTATTCCAGTACGTTTTAGTGTGTAAATACATATTTGCTACAGGCTGTACTGTTTTACTTTCTTTGCTTTTGCTAGAGCAGTATATTTTTGGTATGTAGATAAGCCCTTGGCAATTTTCTGCATGACAAGAGAAATTAACTGCAGAGGAGAACTCCTAGTTTACAGTAGGAAATGTGGATGCCCTCAGCAGACCTCCTGGATTAAGTTTCTTTAATAAAATTTTGTATTTTTGTCATCCTTTCTTCCTGAATATCTCCTTTTGGGACAGATGCTCAGATAAAAGCTATTTTGAGGAACTCTGTGACAGAAACAGGAAAAGTAGAAAGGGGACCTAATATCTGTAAGGAATTTTTTTAAATTTTTTTTTCCCCCTCAATACTTCCTCATGTCCCAGCAAAGAGTATGTTTGAAGGAATGGCACGTATTTGTGAAAACTTGACCTCTTCTCAGCAAATCAATTCTAATAAGTTATGTCAAGTGGAGGAATGAGGAGTTTAGTGTATGCTTAGCATACTGTCTCTGGGGCTCTCTATATTTATCCATTCTGTTGCACATAGTGAAATACTTATAATTTGGCTCTTTGGAGTTCTTTTTTCTTAGATCCTGTGGAATTGTTTTTGTCTTCTCTGAGCTGTAGCTATGCCATGGATCATAAAGTAATTACACAGAGATACTCACTGGTACTGCTTATTAACAGGAAACAGAGCAGATGGTTCAGAAGCGATCAAAAAAGAAACAGGAAGAGGAGGAGGAGGAGGGAGTAAATCCTGAAGGTTTTCAGAACTTTATTACCAAAGCAAGGTAGGAATGGATTTTGTTCCCTTTGTCAAAGGATTTCTCAGCCCTGAAGGTAATGGGGTTGTTCTAAAGATTATCTGATTGATCTAAAGGCCTCTAGATACCTTTACTGACTGTAGCATCTGATGCCCAAAGGACGCCAGTTGTTGCCCTGGTCTGTGTAAATTTCAAACCAATGATGTCGAGCTAATGGTCTCCTTTCCTGTGATGCTGGAGCAAATGCAGTGGTACTTTGGAAGGACAATGAAACTAGAGATGCTGCTCAGATGGTCTTGAGCTGCTGTGGTTGAACAGTTGTTGTGACTCTGGCTCTCAAATGTCTGCTCTCAGAAAAAAATCTTATGCTTGGTGCCTCTCTTCAGGAACTCTCCGGGTCTGGACTTTGAGATGAGGAAGAAAGGAAGTTAGACTTCCTGTCTCCATCCTAGCTTCTTATTTAGCTTGCTAAGGCAGTTCAGTGCAAGCAGTTACTTTCACAATGAAAAAGCAGCGTTTTCTAACTGCATGCTCTGAAATTTATCTGCCTTAAATTTACAAGAATCTGGCAGGAAATGTATTTTGAAAATGGGTAAATACTCCTTATGGCTTGCAGCATTGTATGAAAAACAATGGTATTATAGCTGCATGACTATGGAGACTTCTGAAATTATTCAGTCAACTGCATTATGTCCTCAAAGTCTCTGATTTTTGAGCACATAAACTGATTTCTTTTGACTCCTTTATTTGACCCATATATAACATTGCCTATATGGTCAAGGACCTCTGTCAATATCTGGACAGGTAGGGTTTATCTGCCTTTTTAATGTCCTTCTGTCTTCTCTGGGAAGGTTGACAGTCACTACTACTTTTTCATGATCAGTTATGAAACTGTTCTTTCTTTTTTTTTGTTTGGATAGGACTTTGTGAGTGATTAGAAGTGGGTGATAGCTGAAGCTTCTTAAGTAAGTTCAGGTGGCTTTACAGTCTCTTGATGCTACATTCTCGGGATAACAATGAATTTTACATTTTGCTAATATAATTGATGGAGTCATTACTGCAACAGATTTACAGGCTCCGTCTTGCTGCTTTTCAGATAGAGTTCAATAACAGAATGATACTCAAGATATCTGAATACCATATACCATAGCATCTACTCCTGTCACTAGAAATGCAGATTAAATGGGCCCACAGCATGCTCTTGGTTCTCTGACATCTCTGGCCACTAAAATGACTGTTGCCTCCTAAGGCAGGTCATTTTGCTTTTTGCCAGAAATGCTAAGAGGTGTCTGTTTGGGCCAGAACTGTGTACTCTTCTGTTTCCATGTTATTGGCTACGATGCCATCATGGTGTGGTGCACAGTCTGGGCGGGGGCTGGAGATCTTTGCTGGATCATCTGCCTGAGTGATAAAGAACAGCAAAAGCCAGTCTGCCAACGATCAGAATATTTCTAGTGATGATCTTTCTGCTTCTTATGAAGTATCAGGTATGTTTGAAAACTCTGATATCTGACACTGCTTTGTGCTTGAAGCTTAAATCAATGAGCGAGTCATTTGGAGCTAAGCAGAGAGGGTAGATTTCAACTTGAGTTTGTTCTGCAATACAGTGAATGCAACACTGGAGAAAATGGATAATAAATGTTGCCAGTTAGAATCAATGAGCCAATCCCAATTACTAACTTCGATATCGCATGGATGGCATTGTGTTCATCCTACAGCCATTGCTTCTAAACATCCTCAGTGCAATGTAAAAGTATATACTTATGCTGATAAATGCACTTAAAAGCCTTAAAGCACCTTCCCACCAACAATTTTTCATTCTTCCATTTCCTTTTCTCTTCTGTTCTTATTGGTTTGGAAGAAAAGGTGAAATTTGCAGCGTGCCCTGAAGGCCAAAACTCCAGTGGGATCGGCTTTAGATATTGCTTTTACCAAAGCTCCATCTAACTAAGATTAGTACTAAGTGTGATATGTGGAGGACATTTTGAAGGATTATAACTGCTGCTAACCGAATTTATATTCCTGTGTTATGTTTTATTGTAACTACTGGCACTATACTTCTTGCTTTTGGTGTTTGCTCTGCCATGTACCCGCTCACTAATGCTGAAGCAACACTATAAAGCAAAAGGAAAGCATGTTAGATATCAAAACAATTAGAATTACAGCTTGCACAAGCTCTAACATGAATTGCCAAGTAACTGATAGTGACTTGTGACCAATAGCCATTTAGACCATTGGGACAGTTAAACTCTCTTCTTCTAAAGAAAATGAGAAATGTTGGTGAGTTTTGTAAGATTGACAAAAATATTGACTGGTCTATTTGTTTATCCTGCAGTTTTGGCTAATTGTCAAGCTCTTCCCTCCTCTTTCTTCTTCTTCCTCCACAGCTAAATTCAAACTATTAAAATGAGTAAAGCAGAGGCTGAGCTGATGTCTCTCAAACAAGTTGGCTACTTGTTCTAGAGAGCACCAAGGGAAGACTCACAAATTTAGCTGTGAACTGAATCTCTCCTGTTGAGCTGATCTCTCCAAAAATGTGTTTGGAGTTTTCACTTGCTTTTTATTTATCCTGGGAATGTTTCTGAATGTTTTGAATTTTCTAGTGCATAAGAAAATGTCATTTCAGTGGGAATCTCAGGTTTAACCAAGACATGTTCCTTTGCATCCACCCTTACACTGCAGAACTGAGCAAATCATCAGCTTGTCTGGCCTCATACCTTTTTTTTTTTTTCCTACTCCCCTCTTCAGCCTCCTTATAGTTTCTTGTCTTTGTTATGTGAACACAGAAAAGCTTAGAATCTTCACTTACATCATTTCTTCTCTCCTTATTGTAGTGAACGTGACCTGGAGGAAGTGCTGACATTTTACACACACAAAAACAAGTCAGCAAGTGTCTTCCTAGGGACAAACTCTACAAGCACAAAATCCAGCACCACCAGTAATCAGACAGAGAAACAGCCTCAAGGAGGTAAGTGTTGCAGGCAGTTCTGAGGTGATGTTGCTTAGACGAATCCAGTTTAACTTCAGTCTATGGCAAGAGAACAACCCCCCCAGAATGTTATTCAGGTTCTTGAGTTTGCATATTTCTAATTTTTTTTTCTTAACTGCCTCTATATGTCAAGACTAGAGTAACTGCACCGTTGCCTTCTTTGCCTGAAGTGAAATGGGATGAATCTGGACTAGTATTTACAAGGAACTAGATATGGTGGCTTACGACTGAAACGGGAGTTGGCAAACTGAATGCACCAAGATATGAAATGAACAGATTCTTATCACTCATTACTTTCATTCTTATCTAAGTAAGGAATGAGAGAAATCAAGGCCTGTTAAATTATGCTACCTGCAGTGAGCATACCCATTGGAGGGCACAGTCTGTATATTTGAGCCTAATTAGGCGTTCCATGGAAGGAAGTGCAGTACCAGCCATACATATCCAGTAGTCCATGCTGCTGTACATGACAGCACAATTGTGATCAATAGAGTTGTATGGTCTACAGTAAATATTAGCAAGAAAGTCTCTTGTGACAAGGTTTAAATTCTGCAGTCCTGTTCTAATGATATCCCAGTTTGCATTATTCTACTTCCTAACTTCTTGATTTTGTTATAGAGCGTCCTGAGGTGGTGAAAAAAATAAAAGGGGATCAGCTCAAAAGCTTAGTTGCGGATCTGCGTACAGAAGGAACATTAAAAGGCTATAAATCCAAAGAAGTTAAATCAACCTGTAAGTGAACTGGCTTAAATCATCATAAAAAAAAAATAATAAATGCATATACTGTTTTAAACAAAGGTTGGAACCTTTGGGCTCAAACTGAGAGGTCAAATGCCCAATTTTGGGAAAGATTCTGCAGTTTTTTCTTTTAAACCCAAGAAAAAATACTGCAAAGTGTGCAGTATGAAAGAGTTAGCTGCTCTTCTGTGGGGGAAGATCTAGATATGGCAAGCTTTGAAAGAGTATATTTACCATGTGGAGCCTCTTGTCTTTGCTGGTAGATGAGGTCATTTTGGCTTCAGCGTGTCTGACTAGAGGCATCTTTGGTGTGTTGATATTATCCAAAGGACCTGAAAAGCATCTATTTCTCATATAGTGTGCCCATTATCTTTGTGTAGTTCCAGAAGGACCCACCTCCTCTTTAAATGCTGAAGTGAAATTACCTCGGTGCAGCCCTCCTATTGCTTCTTCCTCTGTTTCTGGTGCCGCGTTCCAGAGAAGTACTGGTTCCTGCATACCATCTCAGCCTGCAGCCTCTGAAAATTCACAGGTGCCTGGTCCCCATTCATTGCCAGCTCCTCCAGTTGGTCCCAGGCTGATTCAGTCCCCATCCCCACTGCCCTCCTCACAGAGCACAGCTCCTGACAGCTCTTCTGTCTTCACAAACCCAGTGTTCAGTCAGTCTTCTAGCCTTGCAGGGTTACATCGTTATCATTCTGGTAGCTACACTATTGGCCCATTCTCATCTTTTTCAAGAGCTGCTCAGATCTACAGCCAAAGATTGTCCCGACCATCCTCTGCAAAAGTAGGTGAGTGTTCTGGGGTCCATAATAACCTGCTAGTTCAGCATGGAGATTGTGTAATTTCTGTTCTGGAGTAGGTAGAAATTTTACATTTCCAGAATTATGAGTTTTGTTGAATGGTGCTAAATTTCTCATGGAAAGGAGTGCAGGAAGCAGGACTTGTTTGCACAAGGCGCCTTTTTATTGAGCAGATGAACAGGGAACCATAGAATTGTTTAGGTTGGAAAACACCATTAAGATCATCAAGTCCAGCTGTTAACCTCACACTACTTAGTCCACCACTAAACCATGTCCCTAAAGTCCATGTCTACACATCTTTTAAATGCCTCTGGGGATGGTGACTCAACCACTTCCCTGGGCAGCCTGTTCCAATGCTTGACAACCCTTTCAGTGGAGAAATGTTTCCTGTTATCCAATCTAAACATTCCCTGGCGCAACTTGGTGCTGTTCACTCTTGTCCTGTTACCTGTGAGACTGACACCCAGCTCACCACAACCTCCTTTCAGGTAGTTGTAGAGAGCCATATGGCTTCCCCTCAGCCTTGAACTTGAACTCAGCCTTTGGACTTGTTCAGAAAGAACTGGGAAATGAAGTATTATACATTTTCACTTTTTTCACTTGATTCTATTACTGATCTCTAGTTTAGATGATTTTAATGGAGTTTTGGTTAGCAGTCCTATCTCAGTCTATGTGCTGTTCTTAGTTCTGTGTTTCTCTATCATGCAGAGAAATCCTTTAATGAAACCTCATAATTGTTGAATAATTAAAGGTGTGTCAAGACCTTAAAAAATCAAAGATCTGAATGAATCGTTACTGTATCTTGTTCTCTAGGACGTTTCAGCACTACCATATCCAAGAGTATCTTAAATACAAGATCTAGAGACCTCTCATTTGCCATGCTGGGGTAGAACATAGTTGAGCAACTATGCAACTTTATAGTGTATATATTTATATATACACTCTGCAACTTTAGAGTGTAAGGAATCTAAAGAGTAGACGAAGCTGTAGGAATTTATGCATGCAGACTGTAATCTATTAGGAAAGTTTTGGGAACCACACACAGGCTAACAACTGTGCTCTTGATAATATATTTTTATTTTTATTTTTATTTTTATTTTTTTTAATGGTGGTATACATTTGCTTTAGTTTGTAGGTCAGGGTCAGCACATGTTCACTAGGGTTGCTATGTATATATTAACGACCATTCTAGCATTAAACTAAATCTGACTTCCCAACTGAGTAGCTTATTTAAAGGTATCTATTTGTTTTAAAGGAAAAACGTCATAGATTTAACTTAGATTACAGCAGCCAATATTCTCTGGATTTGGGTGCCATTAGATATGTTATGATAAAGATAATACAGGTTTGGAATTGATAAAAGCTCATATAGGCTATTCCCATACAAAATAGAAGGCTGTATTTTCTCTAGAATCTGCAGGATGTATTATAACTGCTTTTGTATTTATGTGATCAGCAGGCTGAGAGAATCAGATACATCACTCACTAAACCTATTGAAATGTTTCTTTGGTAGGTTTGTGCCGTCGCAGTCCAGGTGGGCAGCGTGTGGGTTCAGCCAGGATGCACAAGGATGTAGAAGATGCTTCTTCCCAGGACAAACGTTACAGTCCCAGTATGGTAGCATCAGGACTGCAGCAGCTAGCAGAAAAGCAAGCAGCCTGTCAATATTCCCCAGCAAGCCACATCAGTCTCCTTACACAACAGGTATGTAAGCAGTGAAGCTAGAGTCAGACAGCAGAAAAATCTGTCGCAGACTTCTGTCTCAGTGCTGGGCTGAGACATGCTGGAAGGATTAAATCTCATGAAAATAGATATCTCTCATATTGTTATTGTGAAGTGTTCACAGCGACAAGAGTTTTCATTTTCTGTGAGATGACGAGAACGTTGCTGAAGTCCTTTCATAGAAGAAAGCGAGACTGGGCAGAGGATTTGAAAATATGTATTAAAAAAAAATCTATGCTTGGTCTTATTTAACAATAATTGTATGAGGTCAATTTAGTTAAAAAGGGCACTGCTTTCCTGTGCATTTCTAGGGAGGCGACTCTGAATTGTTATTTTCCCCCTTTTCCCTCTTCTGTTTAAGCCACTTGAAATATAATAGTCCATTTAAAGTCTAAGCATTCTAAAATAAATTGACGTGAGGACAACCGCTGGAAGAGAACATTACTCACCTAAATAATAAAAGTAGTACAATTGTTTAAAGCTGCTTCAGAAACTTGGAGTTCATCTCCTTGTTGGAAAGTACCTGGCTGGTACGAAAGGGACTTAATATTTGGATTTAATTATGTTTAATGGCAAGATTAGGACTATTGATTTGGAGGGGGTGTGTGAAAGAGAGACTTTTGAAAATACTACTATTGCTGTGGACTGTATTTCTTTTCCAAGGGCAAGAACTTCTCCGTGAGAGTTGAATGCCTTTGTCTGTGCCTTGGTTTCCTGTGTTGTGCCCAGCTGTGTCTTGGGGGCGGGGGTACTCTGAATACATTGCCTCCTTCCAAGAGCAGCTGGGAAGCTTGTTTTCCATTCCCATCCTTGTGAGAATTGCTTCTGGTATCCGTGTACTAGCGTGGGTCTCCGGGGTTCCCAGGAATGTAGCCTCAACAGCTGTGCTTGGAATGATGTTGCCATTCTGGTTGGGAGTCCACCTCTGTCCCTCTCCAGCCCCTGCTGTGCCTCACTATTTCCTACCCATGCACAAAGCACCTGTTTCACATCTTCTGTATTACACCCGTGCATTCTACCCTCTGAATTAAATCAGTTTAATTTATTAAGACAATTTACTGCTGAAATGACAATGTTCAAAGGGAAAATTTTAAGTGTAAGCTCTGACTAGCTTTGAACAAGATATTAAAAATCTGTTCTCTTAAGAAAACAAGTTTTTTGTGATTATGTCAGCTTTCTGTCTTGGTAACTCTCTCCATTCACTTCTGAAACACCAGAGAGGAACTTCACAGTGGTACTCATAACGTGAACACTTCTGATAATATGGGAGGTGGAGTTGGTAGGAAGGTAAAGCATTACTGATGTGTGGCTTCATTCCCTTGTACACAATTAATTTTCAGTCCTCAAAGACAGCCTCACAAAGTGTGGGAGGGAGGTGGAGTTGGTAGGAAGGTAAAGCATTACTGATGTGTGGCTTCATTCCCTTGTACACAATTAATTTTCAGTCCTCAAAGACTGAAAGCCTCAAAGCCTCACAAAGTGTGGGAGAGCATTTTACCTTTGGAAAATATTTTTCATTACATTGTATAAAATTTTGTCAGTGCATCTTCATGTTTACAACATGAAGAAAACAAGGGTGCCCTCACCGTGGTATACAATGGAAATTGTATACCCATAAGAATCATTACTTAATCCCCTGCATCACTGTATGTATGATGCCTTACTGCCCAGTTGCAGGAATGAGAGAGAGATGACTAGAGAGAAAAGAGAAGCAGTATTATTCTTAGAGTAGAAAAGGAGCAGCTGTTTGGATAACTTATGGAACTGTCTTTAATGGTAGATGCAGGAAAGGTATTGCCTTAAGGGCACACTGAAGTATGACAATCTCAAGTTAGGTTATGAAAGATAAATATTCAGTATTACAAATAAATAAATACAGTGAAGCTGCTAGGGAGAATCTTTATTGTTAAATATAGCTGTTAGCAATTAATGTTAGTTTTTAATTCTGGGGAATTTTATTCAATTTTATTTACTTAACATATTTATAATGGCTTTATGATTACATAAAATCTAATAGTAAAGCTGATTTTGAGGTTTTGACAAACAGTGAGAGTTATGTATTTCTATCCATAAGAGATCTTTTAAACACTGACTGGTTTTTCCAGTACTTGCCATCTAACTGTATCAGTGTCCATAGTAGTCAAAAAAATGTGTTCCTCTAATTAACTCCCCAGTATGTTTGGGAGCAAGCAACACAGAAATCTCTGAAAATGTGTGCTTTTGAGGATGCAGCATTAACCTGGTAAGTTCATGTCTGAGTAAGATAACGAGGAGGTTATCTAAGCTCAAAACATTATAAGAGAACAAGTAAGAAAGAGAAAGCCCATGTCCAAATTCCCCAAGTTTCAACTAAATTAGTCTTGAGGACAGTATGTTATTACCTGTTTCGTGAAAAATGTTAAGTGTGGAAGTGCAAGGCCCATGGGAGTGTTTCAGTCGAGGGCTAAAATGGAGTTAAAGGTATCTCTTCTGTTTGGACTGCTGCCTAGCCAGTCAGAATGCACATATTAATTAGCAGTGAACAGGCTTCTAATTTGGAACTAGATGCAGTGTGTGCTGCTTCTTGCTTGTAATTTAGGGGGACACAGGGAGGAAAGATCTTGAAGACAGCAAGGATAGCAGACTTGTGAATGATGTGGTTATTGGCCAAGGAGACACCCAGGGATGCCATGGGAAAACAGATTTCCTTAAATATGATATTGATAGATTAATTTATTAATTCAGTGAGGATACAGTCTAGGTCTGTAGAAGCAAATTTTGGAGGATATGGACATTAGAGATACTAAATGTCTTTTGCGTTATTTTTCACCATAGTAGATACCGAGGAGCTACATTTTTCTTTCCAGGTAATGAAGTTAAGCTCCTAGGAGAAAAGACAGGCAAAACATGTTTTTGAGATTTCTGTGGCTGGAAGGTACATTTAGGAATTCAGAAATTAACAGTGAAGTGACTAAGTTTCTACTGAAAGGTGTGGTCAGTGGTAAAGCTGTTACAGCGGACAGAAAGGCAACAAATGTGCTTATCTGTAATAAGGACCCTAAAAGTTCTTGTAAGTTTAAGCAGCGAGTCTTGCTCAACTAGCAGATATAAATTGAGTTGAAATAAAAATGGAATCTTAATTCACCTAGATAAACATAACTCAGACCCCAAGAAAACCCTCCAAAACACCCAGCTCATGTCTTGATCTATTAGAATTCTTTGAACTGAGAAATACGGCATCTGGTGAAACTGGTTCTTGTTGTTCAAACTTTCAAAGAAGTTTTTGACAAGCTTTCAGCAAGGACTGTTAAGCCAGCCAGGTATCTATAGGGTGAGAGGTAAAGTTTTATTATAGATTGAAACCAGAAAGCAACCAAAAGAATTGCTAGCTGGTTTGCTGTACGGTAAGCGGATAACTCTAGGCACAGAATGCACACGATGGAGTGTAAATTAAATGTTTGAAAGGAGGAGGTTCATACTGACTGGCATGTTATTGCTTAAAGAATGAATATAAAAGCAAGTTATTGCAAGGTATTATGGGGTGTGAATTTACAGTAGATTAACCACTCTGTAGTGTTCATCCATGTGAACACACGCTTGTGCAGCTCATGTTTACTACATGAGGTAACTTCTTACTGTCAGTATAATGTGGGCTACAAGTGTCCAGGTGTTCATTTACTGTGAAGTTATGTGTGTGCTGTAAACTTTAACTTGAGCTTACCTCCTGGTAGTTTGTCAGTACATCTGTATTCTTTTTTTAATTATTATTATGAGAAAAACTAAGAGAAATCTAACTGTATTAACTGGGCAAGATGATGGCAGGTGACAATGGGAGATGAAGCTCAGTGTTTACAGATAACTGATTACTTGACAAGCAATAATTTTAACTACTGGAAGTAATAAGCTTTAAATTAATCATTCAGGGAAGAAAAAATGAATTTTGTTGTGGAAAGCTCAGTGGAGATACCTATTCTAAGTCAAGCAGTAAAGGCAGCAAACAAAAATTACTAGCATGTTTAAGGAACAGGATAGGAAATAGCATGTAATTATGTAAGTATCAATTACATCCCCTCTCTTGAAAAACTGTGTTCAGTTGTGGTTGCCATTGCTATTGCCTTCAGTATGTGTAGTGGTTCATCTGCAGTGTTGTCAGTGTGTTAACGATACTCAACTCAATTTTTCAGTTGTACTAAAATTTTCTTATTTAGTTTGCCCATTGTGTAGCATGAGCCTAAGGTAGTAATAGAACTATTGGATAATCAAGGTGGTGAGTTGGGGAATGAAGCTGAAGATACAGTTCAGTGATCCTCTTTCATTTTGTAGGGACTTAGTTGCCTTCTTGCCTTGATTTGTGATGTAGGAACCTTACTGGCTGCTGTGTTACTTCTCAACTAAGAGGGTTTTTTCGCCTGTACCTGCTGTTAAGCTTTGGTCTTTTCTGGTGGATGAAGGCTGTGACCAAAATAATCCAGACTTCTTTTCCCTCTGCTGTGTTTCTTACCAGGCATTAATCCTGGAGTTTTTATTTCACGTGTGTTTAGCATAAAATATTTCCATGCGCTTGTATTGCAGGACTTTCTATGGGGAGGAGGACATTAAAATGCAGAGCATGTGTGTAGATCTGGAGCCAGGTGGCTGGATCTGGATACGTGTGTGTTTTGTTTTGTTTTTTTCTTTGTGAATAGCATGCTACCTCTCTGAAATATGCTGTAAGGTAAAAAGAAGGTTTTCTTCTGCAATGCTGGATCTGTGTGAGGTCCCTATCACTGGCTGGTGTGGGGGGCTGCAGTAAATATCTACTAGGCTCTAGTACTTTGTGGTTATTAATGCTAGTGAACTGAAGAATGTGTTGAATTGGCCAGCTTTACCAGGGGGAGGAGGAAGAAAAGGAGGAGGGGAAGCCTGGTGGGAGCTCTGCCCCTCTCTGTGAGGGAGAGTGTGAGATTTCAGGACCCAGCTATCATTGGGAATAGCTCCAATTCTTCTAGCCAGGGAGTTTAATC